AGGCCATGCAGGGACTCCCTCCCCAGGAAACACCCCAGGAGTAGGCCGCCTGCGGGGTCAGGCTAGCAATGGACAAGTAGGTGCCCTGGTGCCCCCCCCCCACAGGAGTGCGAGAAAGTTAGGAAGACAGAAGCCACACCCTCCTCCCCTGCCCTGTCTTTCCCAGAAGCCGACAGAGAGACAAAGAGAGAGGGGACGGAAAGGTAGGGGACTCACCCTTCTCAGACTTGGAGGACGCGCCGCTCCAGACATCACTGGAGCAGTAAGGGATGAAGCTGCAACAGGCAGAAGCTTGAGGCCGGCCAAAGGCCTCCGCTGCCCGTCGCCGCCAGGAAGGACTCCCCAGGCAGGACCACCCCCCAGGCAGGACCGCCCCCCAGGAAGGGCAGCCCCCGGTAAAGACCGCCTTCTAGGAAGGACCACCCCTCAGGAAGGACTGCCCCCCAGGAAGGACCGCCCCCGGTAAAGACCGCCTTCTAGGGAGGACCACCGCCCAGGAAGGGCCGCCCCCGGTTAAGACCGCCTTCTAGGAAGGACCGCCCCCCAGGAAGGACCGCCCCTAGCGAAGACCGCCTTCTAGGAAGGACCACCCCCCAGGAGGGACCACCCCCCAGGAAGGACCGCCCCCGGTAAAGACCGCCTTCTAGGAAGGACCGCCCCCCAGGGAGGACCACCCCCCAGGAAGGACCACCCCCCAGGAAGGGCCGCCCCTGGTAAAGACCGCCTTCTAGGAAGGACCACCCCCCAGGAAGGACCGCCCCCCAGGAAGGACCGCCCCCAGGAGGGACCAGCCCCCAGGAAAGACCGCCCTCCGGAAAGAACCGCCTTCCAGGAAGGACCAGCCCCCAGGAAAGACCACAGCCCCCCGCCCCCGAAAAGACCGCCCTCCAGCAAGAACCACCCCCAGCAAGGACCGCCCCTCCAAGGACCGACTCCCAGTAAGGACGGTCCTCCAGGAAGGTCCACCCCCTAGGAAGGACCGCCCCTAGCAAAGACCGCCCCTCCAAGAACCGACTCCCGGTAAGGACGGTCCTCCAGGAAGGTCCACCCCCTAGGAAGGACTGTCACCCAGGTAGGACCAGCCGCACCGGGTAGGACGGTCCACCAGCAGGACCCCCCGCTCAAGGGCCCCTCACACCCCTCTTACACCATGTTCGCGTTCCACCAGTGCGGATTCTCCTCCGGCTGAGAGGATAGGATCCCTGTGCCTAAAGAGGGCGAAGACAGAGGGGGTGGGTCTTTCTGGTGGGAAGGGCGTGTGCAGGAATGAGAACTACAGAGAGAACGGTGGAAAGTGGGGACTCCCACCTGATCCCAACAGACGGTGGGCTGTGGTGCCAGCCTGAACCAGGTGGCTGGGGAAGTGGGAGATGGGGGGACGGACAGGCTTAGTTACCCCAGGAGGCACCTGTGGGCAGACGCCAGTGATATCTGACGTGACCCCCTCCGCCGCCCCCCGCAGGTGGCTTTGACCCGGGGATCCGAGTGCCGAGCAGCCGCTATCAGCTCTCCAAAGTTAGTGGAACGGAAACGAGACGGTAAAAGCGAGTCTCCCGACTTGAGGAAGTTCAGAGAACAGCCAAGGCCGGCCGGGAAGAAGGACAGGTGGGGGCTTTCAGGGCTCGAGCAGGTGAACTGGGGGGTTTCTTCGAGGACTCCAAAATGTGGTCCTAGGACGCTGCTGCCCCCTTCCCTCCAGGAGGGCTCCTCGACGGCGCGCGCTGCAGGGTCTGCGCCCTGCTCACCCTTGCGAGTGCGTGGCCAGTCCTTGGAGCTCATGAGGCGCCGCATGGTGGCGTAGCGGGAGTCGCAGTTCTCCCGGTTGAAGCAGTACCAGCCGCCTGCGGGCAGAACCACCACGCTCAGGGCCTGCGCCTAGGGGCCCGCGCCGGGGACCCACGCCCGCCCAGCCGCCTCGGCCTGGGGACGCACCTTCCAGGAAGAGCAGCCACCGCCGGCTGCCCTTGGACTCCTTCAGGTAGTAGCTGCGCGGGAGGGCGGGGCGGGCGGTCGGACAGGGCTGCAGGGCCGGGATCGCAGCTCCCGCAGCCCGCGCCCGGCTCCGGGGAGGAAAGCGTTATTCCACCTGTCGCCCGGCGGGTGGGCGCCAAGGCCGCAAGGGGGCGCCAGCGGCCAGCCCACGCGGAGAGAACGAGCCGGGCGAGCGCCGGCGGCTGGTCCCTGCGGGTCCCGGGAGGTGGCGCTCGTGGGGCGGGAAAGGGCTGCGAGGGGCTGTGTGGTCCGTGGAAAATCCCCACGGCCCGCTCGGCGCGGAGCCCGCGGTAACCTCGGCTTGCGCGGCCGTCGGGGGGGTCTGGGCTGGGCTCCGGGTCCTCCCGGGCGCGCGGGAGCACCCTTGCTAGAGGCGTGTGCGTGGGGAGCGGGGAGGGGGGGCAGTGGGGCGCGCCAAGCGGGCGCGGAAGGGGCGCCGCAGCCGTGCTACCGAGGCTGACCTAATGGCCCGCTCCTTGGGCTGTCGTCGACCCCCGGAGGGCCTGGGCGCCCCTGCCTCACCTACTCCCAAGCCTCGCATCCTTCCTGCGTGTACCTCGGGGCTGGAGGCGAGTGGGTGGGTTAATGCTGCACTGGCTCCTTCCCTCCTACCTGCACCCCCTCCCTGGCCCTGCCGAAGGACCTGGCGCTGGGATCCCTGGTGATCCTGCCCTCTTCCCGGGGCAGGGAGCAGGCCGCCGGGGTCAGGGGGACAGCAGGGCTTCCCCGCCTCCTCTGTCACCTCCTCCCGCTGAAGCGACAGCCAGTGGTAAACTGCGTTTCCCCGCCCAGGAGCCGAAGGACACGCGCAGAAGGACTGACACGGGTGGCCGAGGGGTCAATGTCCTGGCTGGCCAGGGCTGAGGCCCGCAAGCGCCGCCCCACCCCCGAGCGGGGCGTCAACTAGCCGCCCCCCACCCGAGCACCGCTGGGCGTTAGACGGACGCCCTTTCCCCTGGACCGGGGGGAGGGTCCTGCTCAAAGCCCCGCGCGCCCCTGCGGGAACGGGCGGGCTGTAGGGTGCGGTGCATCCCCGTGGGATCCAGCGGGGGCGCGGGCAGCCGGGGGAGCCCTTACCCCGCTGGACTACCGTCATTACAGGTGACCGACGTGTTGAGCAGGAGGTGCAGGCGCAGGTCCTCGTTGAGCTGCTGCGCCGAGCACGGGTACAGGGACTGCGCCAGGCTTTTGACCTGCGCCATGAAGCCGTCCATATTGCCCTCCACGGCCGTGAAGTCCAGCGGGAAGCTCTCCACCGGCTGCACAACGGTCGGCGCCGCC